TATATATATATATATATATATATATGATTGCACCTCCTAAACCACAACTTTTCAGCATATAAAAAATAAATCCACCATGTTCAATGATTAACATAGCATCATCAAAGAGACCAAGCCATTTTCAACACGTGAGGGCTCTCAGTAATTTGTAAAAATGACACAATCATGTACACTGGCCAAGAGTATAGACTTGTCAATAAAATATTAAGTTAATTGTGTGTGTGTGTGTGTGTGTGTGTGTGTGTGTGTGTGTGTGTGTGTGTGTGTGTGTGCGTGCGTGCGTGCGTGCGTGCGTGCGTGCGTGCGTGCGTGCGTGTGTGTGAGAGAGAGACATCTATGAAAGTACATTAAGTCACTGAAGATCTCTACACTTTGAAACAGTTCTGTATTCAGTCATCCTGAATATAATTTTTTTGGGGGGGCAGGATATTGCTCCGGATGATGAAATGGATAGTCACCGTGCTTCAGTGGATAAGTTAAATGATGATGAGCAAGATCCAAACAAACAAGATTCAACCCTCACCCTAAACGACACGCAAGACAATACAGTCGAATGACTGAATGTGCGTAGGTAGGAGCACGAAAGGGGAATGTAATGAGAGACTGTAACAGAAGTGTATTAATAAAACTTTGCCATCCTGGTGAATCCTGACTCATTCATCCACGCAACAGTCACGACTGTGGGTGCACCGCTGACGCTGCACAAAATAAACGCCCCCTTCGCACTCCCCTTACTCCACGCGTGTGTGTTGTTGGTGTGTGTCGGTGAGTGAGATGGCAAGAAGCAGGGGGTAAGCTTCGCACGTCCTATATGCGAATTTTAGCACTGCCTGGCCGTCCGGCTTCCTCGCACCAAAACCTGGGCTGGAGTGCGACCGTCCTGTTTGGATCTTGAAACTGAGTCTGCGTGATATCATCGCTGCGTGGTTCACCGTGGTCACGCGGCAGGGAGGACATCATCTTGGACCTGCAAGGGGGAGAGGCAGTGCGGCGAGGGGATGAGCGATGGGAAAGGTAAACGAAATGAGATTATATTTGATCTGTGTTTATTTATATTGCAATACTGTATCTTTGAATTCAGCCACGTATACGTTGCATGAGGGGGCGAGTGGGATGTGACCGTACGTGTGGGGGTGGTGGGTGGGCGGGCGTCAGGAACATGCTCACGCATGATGAAGAGCACGATGGACGCCCTCCCGCGGTATCTGAAACACGCAGTACAAGAGGCTCTGCTTTCTACAAGCGCTTCCACTGCCGTGCATAGTAGTGACGTGTTGGCATGTGACCAGACCACCACATCAGTTCCTGGACTCACTGCATCACGAACTGGGCCGTGGCAAGGAGGTTTGTACGGTCACACGTAAAGGTCATAGGATGAGTTACCAATGAGGTTTTGGGTTTTTGTTTTTGTTTTTTTTTTTGACTGACTTTGGTTTTTGCTGCTATGTTCAGAATCAGAATGTTTCATGTCGTTAGATCAGCCTTTCACAAACTTGGGACATTATCATGGTGTCAGAGTTAAATGCGTAAACTATTGTTTCGACCATAAAGAAGGGAAAACTTGTGAAAGGACAATTGTTTGTTCTGTTGTTTTATTTAATATGTCTGCTCATTCACCTGCTTGGCCCGGTCTTCGCTTATTGCACTTTTGTTTTTGTTTTGGATATGTCTGCTCAGTCACCTGCTTGGCCCCCTCTTCGCTTATTGCACTATCTGCGACTCACCCATCACCTGTCAATATTACATCCTCGACCCTGTGGATAGGCAGCTCAATAATGTGAGTGTGATTGGTTTGTGCCCCTTAGTAATTGGCTGGCGACCTGTCAAATGCAGTGATGTAAAACCGCACTGCATCATACTGATAGCTATAACAATTTGCTTACCTTATGAGAAAGCAAATAATAAACATCATGATCATCACACACTCTATGATGCAACGCAGTTTCAGTACAACACTGAAAATGGAAGCATTATAACAAGGGTACGGATATTTGTGTCACTGATGGTGTAGCGATTTACTTGCCTGACTTTTACACAGGCAGCGTAAGTTCAATTCCCACTGAGTGAATGTGACTGAACAGTTGTCTGTCTAATGTGACCTGGGACTGCCTGCTGACAATTCTAGAATGTAGTGTACCTTTCACCAAAAGTCAACTGGTGTAGGCTTCAGCTCCCAGGAAGAACAGGATAAGTCTGGATGGATGGATGAAGTCTGCTGTCCTCTGTTGTAGTTCTTGGGGTTGTTAAAGAAATCAAAGAAGTTTTTATGCGGTGCTGTGTTTCCAACAACATTTCAAATTCAGTTCTTTGGGGAAACCCAGTGGTAAACAAGTTCCAAAGTAGATGAGAATGTGGCCTGTGGAAAAAAAAAGCCCCAGGTTTTTCCCATTTAAGGTGTCCTTGAGCAAGGCATCTAATCTAACCCAGTTGGTATTCCGACTGCTGCAAAACCCAAACACTGCTCCACCTTATCGCTAACTGTGTGAGCACTGTTGACTACTGTCATTGGTTACTTGGTCCAAACTTCTGAAATGCATGTAAAATATATGCAGTGTAAACAAGACAGATAGACTTTGATTTAGTTGCTGTGCATATGGTGTACAATGTGTTGACTACAATTCCTATTAAGAACTGTTAGTGATGCCAAAGAGGATTTTTCAGAAAGTTGATCCTTACAGGCACTTTGGTAGTCATGCCCTTCAGTGGTTTCGGTTCATGATTAAACAGCGAGACCACTCAGACTGCCCTCCAAAAGGGGATCAACTTAGGTTTAGGAGGCTAAATCGACTCACATCTTCTTCACAGGAGCCCCCCACGATCAGGTCCCTTATGCCCACCTCGAACCATTTTAGTCGAAAATTATGTTGTGCACTGACCTCAATAAGCTACGCTCTGAAGAAGCTTCATCAGACACCTGATTGCCAGTGCTTCTGACCTACTTCCTCCAGAGTGTGCACTAAATGTGAGCCACTTGTTCTTACTACCACCAATAATTGTTTGAATCGCTTTTTGGGCATAAATTGTCCAATGCCATACATGTTAACAAATTAAAGAGCTGACTTTAAAGATGTTCTTAGCATTTTAAACCTATATAGGACTGAATATAAAGCAAAGAAAACATAGCAACGCAGTTAAATAAGATACATTTCAACTTTGTTCCCATGCATTTTACAAAAATCTCTGGTAATTTTGCAAGTCCACCTCATACGAGCTACTGCAGGCACTTTTTTTGGTCATTTTATGGCTCTTTGTTTACGGCCGTATTTACGCATTTGTGCTTAGAGTGATAAGCCTCGTTTGCAACCATTTCATATTTACTTTAACAGCTGTATCTAGCATTTCCTGACAGTAGAGGAGCATTCATTGCCCTATTTACTCCTTCAGTCTGTGTTCTCCTTTTCAGCTTCACCTGTTGAAGGCCTGCTCTTCACTTACTATCACTCTGACTCCTCCATCACCTGTCAATATGACAACCTCAGCCCTGCGTAGGCAGGTGAAGAACATAGTGCACAACTATTCCGAAGCGGAGATTAAGGTATTGTGTGGTCTTCGTATATCAGTGATGGATGATGAGGATCAATTAAAAAAAAAGGAAAAAAATACAAGTCATTGATCTTCCCCTGCCGGTGGTAGGTTCGCGAAGCAACTTCAAATGATCCATGGGGCCCATCATCGTCTCTCATGTCAGAAATCGCTGATCTGACCTTCAATGTGGTGGCTTTTGCCGAAGTCATGGGCATGGTGTGGAAACGCATCAATGACAGCGGCAAGAACTGGAGGCATGTCTACAAGGTGAAAGACAGCTAAGTGGCATGTGTATGTAGAACTGCTGTACGGTTTACTAAGAGGTGCTGCTCATATTTTGGTCACCTACGTAGAGCTACACGAGGACAGCAAAGCACTGTACAACTCTCAAAATTGAGTTATCGGTATCTATGTAAAAGCATAACTTTTGATTTAGTTCTCATATCGGATCCAGTTTATAGAAGGAGTAAGTGAGAGATTTCCCCCACTAATTTTGTGTTTAGCTTCTGCAGCAAATGTGTCATGATATTGAGCGGTGTGTATTTTAACTTCAGTCCCTGACTCTATTGGACTATCTACTGAAGACCGGATCGGAGAGAGTGGCTCAACAGTGTCGAGAGAACGCCTTCACGATTCAGGTTCATCAAAGCAGCTACAGAAACAGTTCATGAATATTAGGCTACAAACAATATTCAATAAACACTCACTTTTACACTGTTGAATCTCCTGACAAAAGTCAGTCACATAAAGTGCAGTGTTGACAATATATACATCCATCCATCTATTTTCTGATCCGCTTATCCTCACAAGGGTCGCGGGTCTGCTGGAGCCAATCTCAGCTGTCTTCGGGCAGTAAGCAGAGTACACCCTGAACTGGTTGCCAGCCAATCACAGGGCACACAGAGACAAACAACCATCTGCGCTCACATTCACACCTAGGGACAATTTAGTGTGTTCCATTAACCTGCCATGCATGTTTTTGGAATGTGGGAGGAAACCGGAGTACCCGGAGAAAACCCACGCAGGCACGGGAGATTGACAATATACAACATGTGCAAAAAGGTAATGGCAACGCAATACATTGGACAAGTAAAGCGAATGTGTTACATGTTTTCTTTATGTTTTGAGGCAAAAGTATACCTTTTGCAGCGATATGTGGTGAGGTTCATGAGTGATGACTGGTGAGGATATAGAAATATGAACCCCAAATACAAAGTAGAAGATTAGCCTGGAGCTATTTGAATTTTGACCTGAATTCAAACATTTGTTTTCAAAGCTTTCAATTATGCTTCAATGAATTCAACACTGTTCAACAATGTCATAGCAAGAAAAACAAAAAAAATATTTCTCACAAGGTCAAGTTCATTGTTATTCTGGCTGATCCCTCTTTTTTTAAATTGAAAAATCATTTTGTATTCCGTTTATATTTTATATGTTCTGAAAGCCCTGATTATAAAATGACCCACATGTCTGGTGTAATAACTCCATGTGTGATATTTGGAGCAAATCAATCCGTGACAAAATCGATTAAAGAATTAATACCCAAAAAAATCTATCTGGATCCAGATACATTTTTTCCAAGTAGATATACTGTCCATTGGGTTTGACACCTCTGATATTTATAAACATAAAACCAAGGTGGCCTAAAAAGGAAAAAAAAAAAGCTAAATTACAAAACAAATGTGTCTTTACTGTGTGAGTTGATTTATGTGAAAATGACCTAAAATCTATCATTAACGCAAATAAAAATCCACATTTTGTAGTTTGAAACATTGTCCAGTATTTTACCCAAATAATCCACAGGAATGTTTTTCTCTTGGTTCAGACGCTTCGTGATTTTCAATATGTTGACCGTGACGGCAGAGACCAAGGGGCCAATGTCCGAGAAAAAGCACGCCAACTGGTGTGCCTTCTACGGGATGAAGAACGTCTTCGACAAGAGAGAACTCAAGCTCTGAAGACCAAAGAGCGAATGGCAGGGGGAGCCGGTGTGGGTGGAGGGGCTATGTATGGAGGAATACCCCCATCCTATCACCCAGGCAGGCGAACCAGCCAACCCAGTATGGCTGCACTCTATGGGGAAGAGTTAACCCGCTCCAGAGGTTCTCCATCCTCCT